TAACAATTAAAAGCGAACGACATGTCTTCTTTTGCAATCAGGCGTACAGCATAGACTTCAATATTCGTTATAATAAAAAAACACAATAGCGTTAAAACCGAACTGCTGGATTATAAGACGCTAGTGAACTATGGGAGCAGCCTCCCACGCGTTCGTGATATATGTTAAGCTGTAGCTGTTTTGAGCTTCATACGAGAGCTCTGAAGGAAGTCAAACGGCCCTTTGTTTTTCCCACTTGTGTTTCCCTCTTTAATGCGGAAAGAGAGCCAGAAACTCGTTCAGATCATTCTAAGGTGGCCATTGGTAGGCTACAAAAAATAATGAGACCAGAAAGCATGATTACAATGCCCAACGAAAGAAACAAATTCCCCTCAAAAGCAATCGCAGTCTACCACAGTGACCACAAAGCGATTACCGCTACCATTACTCTAAAGTAATAATAAACATCCCCTCACTCACAAGGTGTCATTTTGGGTACAGCTTCAATGGAGGCGGAAATGTTGAAAGCACATGTGCTCAGATTTGGGTGCACGTTAAAGAACCCCAGGTGGTCGAAATTTCCGGAGCCCTCCACTACGGCGTCTATCATAATCATATGGTGGTTTTAGGACATTAAACCTTACGTATCAATCAATCAATCAATCAATTGGTGTACATCTTCATTGGACGTTCATACTCGCAAGGCGAGATGGCTGCCAATTTTTTCAAGGCTAGTCACTTAATCATCAAGCAGGCCTTTTCAAATATTATAACTTCCTCTTTCCCACCAATCACAAAATCAAGGACTACGCTATACAACATTCCGCCTGAATACGCAGAACAAAATGCTGCATTTCCTTCAGGACAAAGACTGTTGCTAAGCAGCTTTACTACTTTCCATGGTTTCTCATGTTTTATCATGCAAACATGAAAATTTGGATAGCTTGAAAAAAAAAACCATGCGCATCTTTTTATGTCATTTTCTTTGACGCTAAGGACCACCAAAAAGAACAAGAAAGAGGCGCATAAAAGCTATGTTTTGCTTGTACTGTTAATATTCAATTCCAAAATGAGGCCGAAACAACATATTGTGAGTGCTGATTGCTGAGACGTGCCGGGGAACTAGGCTGTAAGGGTATGAAAAGGCTAGACTTGTCCATCCAACCCTCACAATGGCTGAATTTGCAGCCACACGGGAGGACGTCCTCACAGAGACGAAGACGAAATGTCAAATTTCTGGGTGCCATTACAGGTGGTCCGCATCACTTGTTCAAGTAGTCATCTAAAAAACTCAGTATCGAAGTTTACTGCCTCGCGAGTGGATCACCGCAAAAACGCCTAGAATCCGTCAAGAACATGCGGAGTTACAGGGATTGGTCTAGCGCATTAATAGCTTTGTTCTCTCGTCCCGACGAGTGCACTGGAAGCTACGCAAGGATGGATGACAAGGGCGAAGGAAGCTACGTCAAAGAGTGTCATGACCTAGTGAGCACGCAAACTCTTTCCCGTGGTGATTCGTGTGTGCGAGTGTGGCTCACTGTGTAAGCTGAGAGGACAATGGAGCCCGTGGCAAGACACGCAGCTGATGAGATCGCTGCTCTTGATTTATGTCGTTTATTGCGTAGAGTTTCTTAAAATTAACTAGAGGAGACTCTGGCGCTGCGATCTTTCAGCGACCAAGGTAATGATGGGTAGTACACGGATTTGCCTATCCTTCGTACTTGCGGGCAGCGAATCGCACTTGCGGCTTCGTTTATTGCTGCTTTCGCTATCGTTTTTATGGAAAAAACGATTTTTTTTACTTTGTGACCTAATTCGAAATGGTAAGCCTAAAAAAATAAGGTTGTAAAGTGCAACCGCTGAACAATATACTCGTTTTTGTTTTGTGAGAAAACAACTCCAAGCCACGTGAACACAGAAGGAGGCAGAAGTAGGCCAGAAGTACGAATATTAGACAAATACGTGTACTACCCGTCAATCCCGTGCTCGCTGAAGCACCGTGCGTTGCCGCTCCCGTAGGCACTAGCGCCATGAGATCCCTCTAGTGTATATTAGGAAACTCTAAGCTTTATTGGCCAGGAGAGCGCTATGTGTTATTCGACGTCAAACAGCAGGCGCCCGTAGCTTCGAAGAGAGTGAGCAAGTGCCCCTGTAGTAAAAGGACGTCTGAGAAAATGGCAACTTACGAGCTGCGCTTCTGAACCTTCCTTGGCGTGGACGACTACAACGTTTGGCAGACCTGTTCATGGCACTGTCTGCTTTCTGCGGGATGTGTTCTTTTTTCTCACCTATTCTGGTGCATGGTTCATTACCCCTTCGAGTAAATGCATATGTAGGATACACAGGCGCTATAATTTATCCGAAGCTTCTTGCTACGGCTTGCAGTTACAACTGCTATAGAAGGTTTCAAGCTACCTACGAAATTGCTAATGAAGAATTCAAGCTACCTCTGGTCTGAATAAAATACACGTGGCTTGATCAACGAAGTAACCTGGAACATGCAGATGATACTCACCCCGATATTGTCAAGGATCCTCCTTTCATCTTGTGTCATTCCGCTGGATTTCTGCAGATAGACAGTGTTGTATACGTCATGCACTATTGTCTGCAAGTGCGCCTTTTATGCATACTCATATAACGCCGTTACTACCTTGTAGAACTACAAAAGCTAAAATTCTCGAGTTTCAAAAGATAAAAACAGTGTGAAAACAGTTACAAAAAGTGCATTCTTTCAATACAAGTGCCCATTGTAGCTATGGCTGCAAAATATCATACCACGTGACAGGGTTCCGTAGTGATAACAGCACTAAGATAGTTTTATTTCTTTTCGTACAGTTCCAAGGAACAAAGCAAGCAAAAAGACTGAAATGGTTCTAGGAGGTTTCTCCTCCTGAGAAAAAAAAGGTGTGTGCTTTTGCTTTTCGTTATAGCTCACCATATTCTTAGTGCTAACATACGTGCGTTCAAATAAGGCTTCAGTGTTATAACAAATGTGGGCACTACCTGAAGTCAAAACAAAACGTAAGCTACAATGGCCAGTATAAACTATAAGATTAACGATGCAACGTGGTGTAAAATGCACATGAAATAGACTGAAACACCTTACCATGAATTCCTGCACTTTTTCAGCGAAGCACTCTTCCATCTGAGGAGTAATAAGATGAAAGATTGAATTATTTCGGGAAATATTGAAATTTCATAGGCTGAACTTTCACAGTCGTTATCGAATACACACATCTTCAATGCGTTGTTATGCAATTGCCTACGCATAGTGCTGTTGCCAGACTTTACTGCGAAATTGTAAAGGCGGCTGTAAGATGTCAACTGAGAATAACACGTCCGACAAATCTATGAGGAATGGCTTGAGAAAAAATCTTGCTGCGAGCTAGCACCTTAAAAGTATACTGAGCACGGTATTCTGAACATAATCCGCTGATGACTCAAAACACCTGTGGTGTATTCGTGTTAAGTCTAATGCATCCCATTTTACTTCAACTCAAGTGTAATGCGGACTGCGAAACCTCTGTCTTCTATTAGCGAAGAAAGTAAAACAGCAATATTCGATGATTTTCTCAAGGTCTTCACGCAGTGCAACACTAGGGTTACACGCAAGTATAACGCTAGTGGCTCCACAACACTTCGAGTGTAACCGATATAAATGCGTGTACATAAAGCTGTAGAACGGGCATGTGTTACATCTAAACACGGGAACAGCTGCAAAGTTAATAGGGAGAAATGTGAGTGTACGGTTAGCACCCGCTATATTTTTATTTCTGCAAATTAACAACGACAGTGCCTTCTAATTCACTGTTGTGAATGTGTTATTGCTCGTTGCATTTCGACCTTACTTAAATAATGTCATGCTTATGTATATAATCAACTCCTAGAACTTGTGATAACTGGATAATTAACTAGTAGAAAATTTTAAAGGCACACTCACCTATTCATATTTTTCTCATTATGATTGTCATACTCCTACCAAATTATCGAATTATTCGTCCTACAAATACGTTGCACAACCCTCTCTGCGACTCGTAAAATAGGTTTCAGGGTTATATATTTCGCCCACGTACATGTTATTGTCCGGGGAAACATTGTAGTCTAAGCTACACTGGTCGAGATTGAGCGTTTAGGCGTGGTTTATACAAAGTCGTGCTGCACGACTAAAGGAGCAGTGACGTCACATGACGCACAGCTGGCTCCCCGGAAAAGGCCTAGAAGGCCCTGGGGTGACGTGTGACTAGCTGGCTCGCGCTTAACTTGCGTGAGCTCATTCGCTAGTCCGTCCGTCCATGCATTCGTCCATACTTCTGTCCGTAGCTCATGCTACGTACATAGTGACATATCCCGAGCTAAGGCAATTTTTATTTTGCTTTTGATTTCTTTTTCTAGTTTCTCATCATGTAACCTTGCTAGCATCGGAAAACTCATAATATTCAACGGTTTATGATGTTCTGAACCTTTAGATTATTGTTGTGAAATGCGGGCACTTACTACAGATATTTTTGCTGGAGCTTCCATTGTGCCCTTGATCCTACTGGTACATTCAGTCATGGTCGGGACGATACTTCTGGTGAGCTACACGTGAAAGAGAACACAACAAAGCAAGACATGCAATTTTCATTTGGTATGTACCACAGTGTTCCCGCCAGAAACGATATGCTAAATGGAAGTCAGAAAAGAACATCCATCACGCTGTGGAGAGCCTTCTTGCGCCTTACTATTTTGCACAAGTACAGAAAATACGCAACTTATGTGTTACGACCATTTAGTTACCCCAAAGCAGACATATATATCATGCCTCATGGGTTGGCTGATCACCGCGCCTAAAACGACCATTTGCCTTGTGTGATTCTTTTGGCTATCTTACTATCAAACACCCTTTGTTAAAATTGCAGTTTCAATTAAAGGCACATCATGAGGGTACACGACGCGATGGGCAAAAGTTTACAGTGTGAAGTGTACGAAGCAGCACCTCCCAATAGATGAAGCTGAAAATTCATATACCAGTAACGCAGCAGTGCGATAACATAGACGTGGTAACTATTTCTACAATTAACCGCTTTGACACTGGGGCACAAAAAAAAAGAGCGAAGTGGAAACTAAATCTCCCAAGACATCAAACAGCAAAACTTTATGATTAGGAAGTCTAATTTAACGATGATTGTCACTGCAGAAAGGTTTCTGTCATACCCCAGGCAGTCACAGACACGACATGAATGTCGGAACTACAGGGACGAACTCATGCTGAAACGGAGCGTTCACACCTCTCATAGGTGTACGGACACGTCATTATTAGCGTACGGCTTCCATCCCCTCGGGATTCCTGTTCCTGAATATTCACTCGCACCAACTTGTTAAACTAGCTGTTGCGTTTTTCATTTTTAGTGTACCACTGGAATTCTTCCAATTTTTGAGACACATCATCGTTTATGAGGATGATTGCCTTTTCCTGTCGTAAGTTTTACCTCCAGCTTTAACGGCTTCGGTGTTAAATAAATGTTTAAATTTTACCGCAGGAGCGAAGCAATGAATGCGACAACAACGAATTAGAATACCATATGAAGAACGATTAGCAGCAAACTTTTTGGCACTCAATTTTGTGTAACTGAACAAAAGTTGCCGGTTTAAGATAACACGGCCGCTGCTGAGAGTGAGGTGATTTTGTGCTGTGAATTGTCTCAGCGCGATGTAAGCTGTGAGAGCGCAACACGTAAACGAGCCACCTGGTGATGACTGTCGAGATAGCTTGCGTGACTCCGCCCTTACGAGCAAAATTCGCAATTGCTGAACAAGTGATGACATATTGAACAGAGTGCGAATCCCGCAGGTGCCTTTACTATATGTATGCGCAAATTTCTGTCGCAAAGAGACACATGCTGACTCCACGAATAGACGTTATTAGGGAATATTCTATACGCCTAAACACAAAAAGAACGAAGAAGCACAAGGGAAGAGCGCCAAACTTGCAATCAACGTAAGAATGGAAGCTTGTGCGAGTTGGTATCGGTTCATCTTGGTTGAAGAGCACGCGCGGGACGAGGACAGCGCTTGTCTGTGTTCCTTTCCTTCGTCCTCGTCCCGCGTGCGCTGTTCCACCAAGTTGCAAGCAACAGACCACTCGATGATCTGCTCATCGCACTCACCCTGTGCATCTTCGTGCTTCTTGTCTTGTATAGGCGTCTAGAATTTTCCTTCATAACGCTGTACCAACTATTCCATCAACAAGTACCTCCATGACACAGACAGAAGCAGACAGACAGACAGACAGACAGACAGACAGACAGACAGACAGACAGACAGACAGACAGACAGACAGACAGACAGACAGACAGACAGACAGACCAGACAGACAGACAGACAGACAGACAGACAGACAGACAGACAGACAGACAGACAGGCAGGCAGGCAGGCAGGCAGGCAGGCAGGCAGGCAGGCAGGCAGGCAGGCAGGCAGGCAGAGAACTTCATTTGCGCCTGAGAAACGCTACTCTTTCAGAGCAACGTAAATGTTTATTTTTGGATGACACCGCGTGAGTGGTGTGTCACGGTGGCTGCCTCAACTTTGTTCACGGGGTTTGATCTCTCTGCCTAAACATGTACTGGCACTTACCTCTTTCATTACCTCCTCTCTGATTCCTTCGGTCATATTAAGACACTCACGAGTACTCTCGATCTTCTCAATCAACATTCCGGCCTTTGTTTTGTTATGAACAAATTCTTGCACCATCCCCTTAAGCTGGTCGATGATGCCGTCCACTGCGTCATATGAAATATTGGCTCTGTAAGGTTACCCTAGCCCGAATAAAAATTGAAATGATTAACAAAAAATTGCAATCTTCGGCGCCATGTCATCGCAGCTACTTTCATGCGACATCATCTAACAGGACATTTTCGTGGTCGATCAGGTGAAGAGGTAAATGAACCTGTTTCCACTAGAGGGAACTCTGATGCTAGTATCTACGAGAGCTGCAACGCACAGTGTTTCAGTGAGCATTGCTATGATGGGTAGTAAATGGATTTGTCTGATCTTCGTACTTACAAAGTAGCTCCGTGTGTGCTCGTGTGGTTTGGATCTGTTTTCTCACGAAACGAAGATCAGCATATGTTCAGTGTTGTGGTTTACCACCTTTTATTTTAGGCAATCATTTCAAATCGGATCATGAAGTTCAAAAGGCTTCGTTCTGTTCTTTGAACCACAACTGAAACACAAGAATAAAGGAAGCCACAAGGGCGATTCGCCGCATGGAAGTACGAATACTAGGCAAATCCGTGTACTATCCATCATTCCCATGGTCCCTGAACACTTGCAGCACCAGATTTTTCTATAACTGATTTCAGGAAACCCTATCGGGAGCGTGACTTCAACGCGCAGCTGCAGCACTGTAGCTGCAGCGTGACCTACTTGGCACCGTTTCAACGCCTGCGGCGTGGGCAGCACGTTGCGCCGCGTTCATACGGGCGCACGGAGGGACAGCGTTACACAGGCTAGTCAAAAAGCTACTTCGAATGTAAAAGTTCCCCCGCTGAGCATCAAGCCTCTGACTCCTTGCGAAATGACGACAAGCGCCTGGTGCTCGACTGAGCCTTTGAGGCATTTGTTGAGCGGTGTACGAACGCGCCTTATATTTTTGATCATCGGCGTAGTATATATATATATATATATATATATATATATATATATATATATATATATATATATATATATATATATATATCTATATATATATATATTATATATATATATATATTGTCATGAGCGAAACAAGACCTGCAGCCAGGAGTTCACTTGACCAGAGCAACGAAGATGTTCTCTTCTTCTTCGCGCCCAAAAACGCGTATGAGCCACAGTGGCTCGTTCATCAATGGTGGCATTACCTCTCCCAAGAAGCATCGTCTCGATGCTGTACATGAAGGCAAAAAAAGAAAAGAAAATTAGATGAAAATTAGCATGCGAGCAAAATGAATGGCGTAAGGCGGAATAACGTAGTTGGTTGTGGGGACAAAAGTTGAATGAGAAATAAGAAAAATAGGAAAAATGTAAGGAAAAGACGAAACAAAAAGAAAGACGCGAAGTTACCAATAAAGTCAGCGATTCACAGCGCGAAAAGTATAGTTTGAGGCGTGAAACGTGAATGACTTCAGTTGGCGGGGTGAAACGGGAACGTCTCGAATCGCCTTGTGGGAGAACCTCGTAAGTGACGTCGGTGAGACGTCGCACAACCTTGTAAGGGTCGAAGTAGCGGCGAAGAAGCTTTTCTGAACGTCCACGCTGTCGGATAGAGGTCCACACCCAGACTTATCACCTGGCTTAAAAATAACTTCACGGTGGCGAAGATTGTAGCAGCGCGCGTCTGCAGTTTGGTGACGTTGAATATGGTGACGAGCAAGTTGACGGGCCTCTTCTGCGCATTGCGTGAATTTGGCAATGGAATTTGGCGGCATCCGTGTGGTATATTCCTAAGTTGTCGGGCAGGAGCATGGCATCGAGCATCGTCGTGACGTCGCGACCGTGGACTAAGCGAAAAGGTGTGAAACCAGTACTTTCTTGAACAGCAGTGTTATACGCAAAAGTTACGTAGGGAAGTATGGCATCCCAGTTCTTGTGATCGATGTCCACATACATTGACAGCATGTCTGCAATTGTCTTATTGAGTCGTTCAGTCAGCCCATTTGCTTGCGGGTGGTAAGCCGTTGTTTTACGATGTTCCGTGCCACTTAATCGCAAGACTTCCTGCAGCATCTCTGCGGTGAAAGCTGTCCCACGATCAGTTATGACGACAGCTGGAGCACCGTGACGTAAGACGATGCTGTTGACGAAACATTGGGCGACATCTGCTGCGGTGGCTTTTGGAAGTGCCTTGGTTTCACAGTAGCGTGTTAAGTAGTCTGTAGCGACGACAATCCACCGGTTTCCAGACGAAGACGTGCACATGGGGAATGACCCCAGCAAGTCCATGCCAATCTGATGAAAGGGCCCCTTTGGTGGGCCTATTGGTTGCAGTAGTCCCGCTGGTCGTAAAGGTGGAATCTTACGTCGCTGACAGTCGCGACATGTGCGAACGTAGTGCTTCACAGTCTTCGCGAGACGTGGCCAGTAGTAGGAGCGTTGAATCTGTTGCAGCGTGCGCGTATAGCCGAGGTTTCCGTATGATGGCTCATCATGACACGCACGTAAAATGTCACCACGAAGCGTGGTGACATTTTTGTTGGCACAACAAGCAGATACATAGCTTGTGTAGGATGAAAGTTCTTTTTATAAAGCACTCTATCACGGAAACAAGAGGAGGATTGTGAGCGTGCAAAGCTTCGAGGAAGGTGGGAATCGCGTCCTTCCAGGTAGTCAATGAGTGGGATGAACTCCGAGTCGTGACAAGGTTGCTCAGCTAAGCTGGTTGCTGATACGGCAGAAAGAAAAGTGTCGTCGTCTTCAAGGTCAGTGTTGGCATTTTCGACCGGTGCACGTGAGAGACAGTTGGCGTCGGTGTGTTTCCGCCCAGATTTGTGGACGATGGTGACATCGAAATCTTATAGCCGAAGGCTCCATCGTGCTAGACGACCTGAGGGATCTTTGAGATTCGCGAGCCAACAAAGGGAATGGTGGTCGCTAACTACCCTGAATGGGTGGCCATACGAGTATGGGCGGATCTTTGTTATGGCCCAGAAAACAGCGAGGCATTCCTTTTCGGTTGCAGAATAGTTTTTCTCCGCTGGGGATAACGTTCTGCTAGCATAAGCGATCACGCGCTCTATGTTATTATGCCACTGAACTAATACCGCACCTAGTCCAACGTTGCTGGCGTCAGTGTGTAATTCCGTGTCAGCGCTTTCGTCAAAATGACCTAGTACAGGCGGAGCCCGGAGGAGGTTTCGGAGGGTGTCGAACGCATGGCACTGATCGGGACCCCAAACAAACGAGACACCGTCTTTTGTAAGCTTGTTGAGGGGTTCAGCAATCTTCGAGAAGTTTTTGACAAAGCGCCCGTAATACGCACAGAGCCCCAGAAATCGGCGTAGGTCACGCTTATTTGTGGGCACGGGGAAGGCAGTGTTACATTGCAGTGGGTGTTATAGCAACGTGCAGGTTCTTAGTTAATGGGTGTCCGAGCCGTCGCCCCAGACTCCCACGAAAAGACGAGGCCGTTTGTACGCCACACTTTATACACACGAAAAACGAACACACATAACATGGACAGGCTATTTAAAGAATCCTTCACTGTCTCTGTGAACTATCAAAGTCCTAAACTAACCGTCCCTCCTTTTTAACATGGACACAAGACATGAGGTCGGTCTCACCGAGGTTCGTTGCTACGTCTTGAGCTGGCTCGCGTTGTCCGCACGGTCAACCAGGCGACTAGTTGATGGGTAGGCCCCGCCCCCGCAGCCACGTTGCGGCTGGACACATCTGCTGGAGCTCGTGCCCGTAGCCCTACAGCTCCGCGTTGCTCGCACGGTAGACGAGGCGGCAACTTAAAGGGTATACGCACCACCACCGACCACGTACAGGCCGGACACCTCCGCTGGAACTCGTGCCCGTAGCCCGACAGCTCCGCGTTGCTCGCACGGTAGACCAGGTGGACCAGTTGGCGCGGTAGACCAGGCACTACCACCGGCCACGTACAGGCCGGACACCTCTGCTGGAACTCGTGCCCGTAGCCCGACAGCTCCGCGTGTCCTCAAGCACAGGATGCCTTGAAGCCGCAGCACGTCAGCGACGCACGGCCGTGGCAGGTAGAACGTGGCAGGTAGGCCGGGCTCGACTGTTACTAGGCTCGGGTCCGGAACCCAACGGCCGAGTCGAGAGCCCCGTCTTCCTCGTTCCTTCTCGTACCTTCGCCGCCACGCTACTCAGCGCTCGTGCTACCTTCGTCGTTGTCTGCTTCAAGCGCGCACTTGTATGGCGCGCACTTTGAATGGCGCGCACTTTGAAGCTTCGCGCACGACACATATCACAAAAGCCCCCCCTTAAATGAGTTTTTTCTTTCTTTTTTAAAAAAAAAAAAAAAAAAACTGCTGACACGTGCGCGGTCTGTAAACCCCTTCACTGTATATGTCCTCTGTATAGTTCACATGTCGAGGTCCAATATTTACTAATACACAAGAACACCGTTAAATACACTGACATACTTTGAGTGTCCAACACCCAATATCACAGTGCATGAAGTCCGAACTCTTGGCTCACAATCTACTCATGAAGTCCGCACCGGTATTCTCCGACCCTTTTATATGCTGAATGCTAAATGAGTATTCTTGCAATGCCAGGCTCCACCTCAGGACCCTACTGTTCAAGTGTTTGGCTCGGGCTAAGTACTGTAGAGGTTGGTGATCTGTTTGTACAACAAACTGGTTCCCATACAAAAAAATGTGAAACCTCTGTACCGCCCATACAATGCCAAACACTCCCTCTCTATGGTAGAGTAATTCTTTTCCCGGGGCAGTAACTGGCGGCTTGCATAAGATACAGGGTGTAACAATCCGTCATGTTCCTGCATTAATATCGCTCCGATGCAGGTGTCAGATGCGTCCGACCGAAGTACAAACCTTCGCTCCGGATCAGGAGCCTTTACAATTGGTCCAGAAGCAAGGGCTTGCTTAAGTGTTTCGAATGCCGCCTCTCTTTCAGGATTCCAACAAATCTTATTTCTCTCCTTTTTCCTAGTTAGTTCGGTGAGAGGCTGAGCTTTCTCCGCATAATGGGGAATTATATCGCGGTAATATCCCGCCAATCCAAGAAACGATCGAAGCTGCTTCTTTGTTTG